CGAATGCTTTCAACGGTTCAGAACCACAATCGCGACAAACGCCACAAACGGTCAGTCTTTACCCCCAATTGGCGTCCCTCTCATCGCCCTTTCCCACAGAGACCTCATCTGGACGCTCCTCACCACTCACGTGACTCCCGACCAGTCGCTGACGTTTCCGCCGCAAGTAATCCTCGATTTCCGCGAAGTCGAGTTCTGGTGTTTGAAACTCCTCTCAGCGCCCGTTCCCGTTCCCGGAAAGACGAAGCTCGAGGTCAGTGCCCTCTCGCTCTGTTCTGTGTTCACGTGTTCTCACCCCCTTTAACCCCCGCCCCCGCCCCCGCAGCTCGAAGTCGTGGCCCGCGACCTGCGCGCGCCCCTCGTGCTGGCGCTGCCCGACCACACGCGCTTCTCGCTGGTGGACTTCCCGCTCCACCTGCCGCTGGAACTGCTCGGAGTGGACACGTGTCTCAAAGTGCTGACAGTCATTCTTCTGGAGCACAAACTGCTGCTGCAGTCGCGCGACTACAACGCCCTCTCGATGTCCGTAATGGCGTTCGTGACAATGATATACCCCTTGGAGTACATGTTTCCCGTCATCCCACTCCTCCCCACGTGCATGTCTTCGGCCGAACAACTGCTCCTCGCGCCCACGCCCTTCATCATCGGAGTTCCCGCGTCTTTCCTCCAATTCAAGCGCCGCTTCCGACTCCCGGACGACGTCTGGCTCGTGGACCTCGACTCCAATCGCGTCCTCAAGCCGTCGGCCGTCGAGGAGTTGCCGCCTCTGCCGGAGCCCGAGGCCACGGTCCTCAAGAACCACTTGAAGCAGGCCTTGGCGTCCATGTCGCTCACGCCGCAGATCCAGTCGCTCGAGCGCGTGGACGCCCCCCAGCGCCACGCCCCCGCCGCCCCCGCCGCCGCCTTCAACCCCCTCATCTACGGCAACGACATCGACTGCGTGGATGTGGCGACGCGCGTGGCGATGGTGCGCTTCTTCAACTCTTGCAATCTGTTGGCCAACTTTGGAGAGTACACGCGCACCATTCGGCTGTTCCCGCGCCCAGTGGTCGCCTTCCAGGTGCAGGCCTTCGTCTCGTCGCGGCCCAAGACCTCGTCCTTCGTGCAGAAGTTCGTGCGCACGCAGGCCGTCGAGTTCCTGGCCGAGTGGTCGCTCTGTCCATCCAACGTGGCCTTCATCCGCGTCCAGACCGGTGTCTTCGACCCGACAGTCATCGGCGACAAACACAAGTGGTTCGGCCACCAGTTGGACGCCATTCTCTTCAAAGTGTGGAACAATGCAAACCAACAGATGGCGCAACTGTTCCGCGCCGCAGACGCCGTCGCCGACTCCTCCGACGACAGCGCGGACGACAGCGACGACTCGGATGACGTCAGCACCTCGTCGTCCATGTCGTCGCTCTCGGAACTCGTGGACAACGCGACGCACGCGACGGACGAATTCCTCAGTAAGCCGTCCGCTGACCACTGTTCACGTGACCGCCGAATGTCTATCCACTCCGCAGAGGCCTTACGCGAGTCTTCGTGCGTTCCGACCATCGGTGACGTCAGTTCCGTCTTTCGACCGCCCGATGCGTTGCAACTCACGCAACAGCGCGACGACGACGAGGACGACAGCGGACGACACGAACCGGCGGCCGCCCGTCGCGCCTCTTCGCACGGCTCGGCGTCCTCTTCGCCCACGCGCTCCGCCTCTTCGGCGTCCAACGCGTCCTCCGATCACGACGCCGAGGAGTCCTTCAAGACGCTCGCGCTCTACGAGACGGCGCCCGCACTCGCGCCGCCCATATCTCCCAAATTCATATCAGGTTCGTGCTCTCGCCCCCTCTCACGCCTCCTCTCACCCCTTTTCGCCCCCACAGGCCGTTCGCCCATTGAGTCCGTCGCGTCCGACGCCTCCGACCAGAGCCGCAGTTCGACGCCGCGCGCGCTTTCGGCGGAACAGCGGCCGATGTCGCCCTCCACGTCTATCGACCGCTCGTCCGGGACGTCGACGCCGACCCTCTCGCGCGCCATCTCCATCTCTTCCGTCTTCTCGCGCTCGCAATCGCAACACAGAGATTCCGTTTCCGCTTTCGGCCAATCATTTCTCGACCGCTTCGCCTCCGAAGCCAAAGAGGTGGCGCGCGAGGCGAAGGCCGTGGCGAAGGAGGTGGCGAAACCGGCGGCGGCGGCGGGAAAGAAGCGCTTTTTGGCCAATTTGCAGGCAATTAGTGAACCCATGAAAGAGTCGCCGTTTTGGAAGACCAAAGAGTCCTCCAGAGATAGTGACGTCACTGAGTCGTCGTCTTCCGCTTCTCTCATGTCTTCCATGTCTTCCGATTTCAACGGTTTGGCCGACAGAACGGCCGGAATGCTGTCTGGACTCTTCGGGCGCGAAAACAAGACTCAAAAGCCCGACAAAAGTCCGCAACCCTTCGGACCCTTTCCCAAAGGTTTGTCAAATGTTTGATTGGTTCGCGGTTTTCAATTAACAATTACTAACAAAAGGACGCAAAGGATTGGTCGAGAAGTCGTCTCTAATCAGACACTCGTCCAATCAGAAGCGCGATTCGCCGAAAGCGCCGCCAACCGAACCCAAGACCACTAACACGCATAGGTTTCCACTACTAATCGCGCGCTAATCCCTTAATCCCATCTTAATCCGCGTAACCTCTTGTCCACAGCGAAAACCAGTCGTTCCTCAAGGAGACCATTGCGGCCGTTCTCGAGGGCGAAGGCGTCGGTTGGCTGAAGCTGTCGCGCGTGCGCAAACTCATGGAGGACGAGGGGTACCGGGCGCTGGTGGTCTCGCGCATCAACAAGACGCTGGAGCGGAAGGTGTCGCCCGACGACCACATCGACGACGTGCAGGTGTCGCGCGCCGTGTGGAAAGGGATGGCCAAAATGGTGTCGGCCATGATCGCGGGTCTCGAGCGCTCGTATCTCGACCAACACGGCGGACAGGGAATGGCGTCCGCGCTGCCCATCCTCGAGATCGCGCACACGCACTACTGGGCCAAAGAAGTGACGCAAGAGGAGTCCGCGCAGTCGCAGTCTGTCACGACGACCGCCGCCTCCTCTCAGGGTTTGTAATCAGTGGAAATCCGCTCAATCCCTTGTCACGTGACTCGTCCGCAGACCCGTCGCCCTTCGGTTCGCGCGAAAACCTCGCGTCCGACGCGAAGACGAGTCCGTCGGAGATCTCGCGAATGGTGGACCAAAAGCGCTCGGTTCTGATGACGCGCTTGACTTCCGTGGACTCGGAGGTCTCGGAAGAGGTGTCTCCCACGTGCAACGCCTCAGAGGCCGGCTCTCTGACGGTAAACCCCGCATACGGCGCGCGACTCGCGCCCAACAAATCCACTTTTTCCGATTCCGAAATCCAAGTCCGAGTTCTTCGCCAAAAGACAAAGAGTCGCTAATAACCGCTATTTTCCTCCGACAGGGCCTTCAAGGGCGCCAAACGCGGACGCCGTCCATCTGGTCGTCCAAGTCGTCCATTTCGACGGGTTTTCGATACCACGGCGGCGCTCTCATCGGCTCCACGGGACTGCCGGCCGACGCCCCGCGCGTCTACCTCTTCGAAGGCATTATCGGTCGGTATTCCCCATGAAATGACGTGACTATCGCTGACCTCCGCTGACGTGATTCACAGGCAAAGAGAGATCGCATTTATGGGACGAAATGCAGTTCTGGGAGGACGCCTTTCTCGACGCCGTCTCGCAGGAACGGGACCTCATAGGTATGGACCAGGGGCCCCAGGAGATGATGGAACGCTACCGCTCGCTCTCCGAGATGGACCGCAAGCGTCTGGAGCACGAGGAGGACCGCCTTTTGGCGACATTCCTCTACAACGTGACGGCGTTCATGATTATGGTTGACGTGAACCGGACGGAGATTCGGCGCAAAATCCGCCGCCTTTTGGGTGAGTGTTTGTAGAGAGCGATCGGCAGAACTGAAGACTAACGCCCCCTTCAGGCAAGTGTCACATCGGACTCGTGTATTCGGCGGAAGTGAACGAAGTGTTGGATCAGATCGACCACTTGCGCGCCAACGACATCGACCTCAAGCCTCTGACGTCGCGCCAAATCCACAGACAGACGTTTTCCGTGCACTTGGGAACCGACGCCTCGGGAGACATGATGTTTATGGAGGTTCGCGACGACGGCCTTATTCTGCGCTCCATTAACGGCACGATTGTCGAGCGCTGGTGGTTCGAGCGGCTCGTGAACATGACGTACTCCCCGAAGAACAAGGTGTTGTGTCTGTGGCGGCGGAACGGCGGCCAAACGCAGCTCCACAAGTACTTCACGCGCAAGTGCAAGGAACTGTACTATTGCATCAAGCAGGCCATGGAGCGCGCGGTCCAGAAGGGCACGGGACCCATGCCTGGTCTCTAGTGACGAGTGTAGGTGTGTATTTCGAGCCGAGCTAACTGTGCTCCCTTCCCCCGGCAGGCACGGAGTTGGGCGGCGAGTTCCCGGTGCAGGACGTGCGGTCGGGCGAGGGCGGGCTCCTGCAGGTCTGTATGGAAGGCGTGGGACTCCTCTTCCAGAACTCAAAGGTAACTGAAGGCCGTCTCGAAGGTCTTTCCGTGTTTCCCGAGAAGTGTTTCCGTTTCCGCTTCTTTCTCTTTGTGTCCGTTTGTCCCCAAAACGCGCCGACTTTTGAGATGGTCCTCCAATCGGCCAAACCATCGATTATTAACTCTCTTTTTCTCTTCTCTCGGCTCCTCTTTTGCGGACTCTTCAGGACTTCGAGGTATTCAAAGAAAACGCTTTTTCTGTAGTCTTAGTGCTCTCTCTATCTCTCTCTGTGTCTCTGTTCTCGTGTTGGCAGCCAATCACAGCCCGTAGTCTTAGCGACCATCTCTCAAGTCGTCTCCGTTCGCACGGCTCCCCCTCGCCGCCCACTGCCCCCCATCCCGCCCTCCCCTCCCGCCCCCGTCGCTGCCAACGCCACCCGACACCCACGCCTTCCGCGGACTCTATTAACGCTATTTGTGTTACTCTTTCGCCAGTTTTTCGTTCGTTTGGAAAACATTCGCAAATGTTTCACTCAAAAGGGCGGCGTCTTTGTGCTCGAGGAGTTCAGTGAGTATTCGGCGCTAAATCCTTTGAATTCAAAGCAACCAATCGCTGCCTCCCTCTCAGACCCCAAGACGCGACAAGTGGTGCAACGGCGCTATCGCTCGCAGATGGCCGACCAGATCTGTTACGCCGTTCTCTGCGTCTTCTCCTATATCGCCGCCGGACTCGAAGAGCAGCGCAAAAGACAGCAAATGGCGGACAAAAGTCCGCAAAACTCTCGCAAACGATAACCAAAGCAATAAAAGAGTTTTTATTTTCACGCAAATTGCGAACTTTGCACGAAATACGTCTCCAACACGCCTTTCCCCTTCACTTTGATTTGACCCCTGCTCTCGCACGCGTACCCCTCCTCCTCCAGCACGCGCGCCGTGTCCTCCGTCACGTGGATGCGCCCCATCTGTCCCGTGCTGTCCATTCGCGAGGCGACGTTCACTGTGTTTCTGGCGTTCATTCAGAGGTCATTGACTTGATTGAGAGGTCGTTGACTCGTCACTTACCCCCAGATGTCGTATTGAGGTTTGTTGGCGCCGACGACGCCCGCGATCACCGGTCCGTGATTTACTGCGTGACAAGGGATTAGGATTAGGATTAGTGGACGAAAGGCTTACTTCCGACGCGCAGTTTGAAGCGTTGAAACGACTCTTTGTTGATTTGCGTCAAAGCGGCCGAAAGCGCGACCGCCAACTCGACCAATGAGACGACGGAATGGCGCGGCCGTTGCGCGGCGTTCGGACAGTCGGCGCCCGGAGTGAGACCGGCGGCCGTCATGTAAGTGGATCCGATGGTTTTGATCTTCTCGACGCACGAGAACTTGGGTTTCTCCAGAAGTTTGTCGAAATCGCAGACAATTTCGTTGAGAAGTCGCAGACATTCCAAGCCTTGGGAGGAAAAGGCGTTTAGAGAGGGTTTCGGGGATTGTTTGGACAAAAACCCTGTTTATTGACGTCATTCTCGTCGTAGAACTCCTTGAAGTTGGGAATGGAGGCGAACATGACGCCCACCGACGCGTATCTGAGGGAACGGGAGGTGAGAGGAGGACACACGGGAGGATATACTGACCGCTCGTGATAGAGAGTGGGCGCCGAGAGGAGGAAGTGTTTGGCGACGTGTTGCGGAAGAATGTTCTCCAAAAGGATTTTGTTGATGCCGCCCATGACCTCCACGTCCGCCTGTTCGACGCCCAGGCGGGCCCTCCACAGGAAGTGCGAGCGGGAGGCGCGCTCGAGGCAGCGGTCGCGCCAATGGAAGCACAGGACGAGCGCCGCGCAGAAGAGGTAGAGTTCTGGGGCGTCGGCGGGGAGCGAGTGGTCACGTGAGAGTTGGATGCAGAGAACGGCCGCCAAATAGGCGAACATTAGAAGCGTTTTGAGGAGAAATCCGAGGAAAAAGAAGAGCGAAATCGCGAGCAAAACGACGGGCGGAGAGACGAGAAGGTAATGGCGCAGGAGGTGTGCGCAGGGGGTGTCGTCGGGGGCGTGGAGGGTGGCGTTGAGGGGGCGGGGCGTGTGTTGGCAGTGAAGGAGAGCGAAAGTGAGACAGTTTTCAGTGACTATGAAAACGGCCGCCAAAACGGAACAAACGATTCGAACGCCTTTCGGCGACCGGAGGGCCGGAAGTGGACAGCAGAGGGCGTTCTCGGCGTCGGCGGCGGCGTCGGGTGGCAGAGCGGAGGCGGTGGGCAGGCGCGAGGAGGGGAAGAGGAGGTTCTGGAGGTTTAGAAGCGAAACGACGACCAAAAGGATGAGAGAAGTCGAACCGATGAGCGCCAAAGAGGTCCAGTTCCTGCGCGCGAGAGGACAGTGAGTGTTTGGGTGACAGGGATGTGTTTGGGCGGGACTCACGTGGGCACGAGAATGAGTTGGATGAGAGTGAGGACGAAGAAGACGACGGAAACGGAGTTCAAATTGAGCGCAAAGTCTGAGAGTCTCTGCAATTGGTATTGAGATTCGAGAGAAGCCTTTTGGAAGTGAAGACACAACGGATTGATTTCGTGGTTTTGGCCGAAGAGTCGGAAACAGGACTCGTTTGGCGGCAAAAGACTCGTCTCGATGAGTGCAATGCTCTGCGGAGGAAATTACTAGAAGTTACGGGAGTTTGCGGAAGTTTCCGGGAATTTCCGAAAGCTTTCAAAAGAAAGCTTTCGTTGCTTACGGTTTGCGTAACGTTTTTGGCGATAACCCGCTCCGAGACGTTTGCGAAGGGTGCGTCGGCCGAAAAGCCGCATTCCGTCCATTTGTTCGTCCGCTTGACGGCCGCCGCGCAAACGGAACGCTTCCGGCGGTCGACGGCGCGCGGCTCGTACTCGATGTCGGGTTCCTGTGGACAGAGGGGTTAACGGGGGTTAGCGGCGACCTTCACCTCTGACTCTGACCTTTGGCGCGACGATGAGGAAGGACTGGACGCGATGTTCGGCGAGATATCCGTCTCGTGATTGGCCGTCTGTCGGCTCGAAGTCGAACTTGTCGTCCAATAGGCGAAGAGTGTCTTCAGTCACGTGAACTCGCCTTCAATTAGAGATTCATTAATCGCTCGAAAGACTCGCGAAATGCTTATCAAAGCATTCAGTCGAGAGAAGTGCAGACATGGGGGGAGCCAGGGGTGGGTAGGGGTGGGGAGTCGGGGGAGCAATAGAGAGCAACAATAAGAGAGGACTGACCCGGGCACGCCGCCCGACTCCATGTGGTTGGCGAGCGTGACGTCATCGCTCCAGACGTCGTATTGCCATTTGTGGAGACCAATGACGCCGCACAAGACGTTTCCCGAGTGGACGCCAATTCGCATGTCCACGTTGACGCCCGTCTGGTAGCGGACCGTTTTGATGGCGGCGATCATCGCGAGCCCCATATGGACGCAGTTGACGGCGTGGTTGGGGCGCGAGACGGGAAGACCGGAAACGCAGTAATAACAGTCGCCGAGGATTTTGATTCGCAAGCAATGGTTTTGTTGCGCCAATTGGTCGAAGCGCGAGAAGAGGTCGTTGAGAGTGCGCACGAGTTCGGAGGCCGAGAGCGCGCTCGAGAGGGGCGTGAAGTTCACGATATCGGCGTACAGGAGCGACACGTTGTTGTGGCGCTGGACATAGAGTTCGTGGAAGCGTTGGGAGGGTTTGTGGGCGCCGTCCGAAGTGAGCGAGTCTTGCATTCGGCGCAGGATTCGAGAGCGCACTTCGGCCGCGATATACGCGGGAATGACGGATAGGAGGAGCTGTTCCTGTTGCTCGCGCTCGAACTCGAGGCGAACCCTTTCGTCGATGAGTCGCTGAGCGCCGCGAAAGACGTTTTCGCGCTCTTTGTCGAAGAGTCGGCGCTGAAAGAGAGAAACGCCGAGAAAGAGGAGCAGAAGGAGAGCGTCACATGCGAGCTGTGGAGAGAGAGAGAGAGAGCGGGAGTCACGAATGCGTGAGTGCGTGCGTGACTCACGAATTGGGTCTCGAGTTGCGAGGAGTCGGAGTCGAGTCGCGCAAAGACGACAATCGAGACGACGAGTTGTGCGGAAAGGACGCAGAGTTGGATCGCGAGCGTCGTCTTCATTGTCAGCGGAAGCATCGTCTGTGCGATGAGGACCGCGAACAGCGACCAGAAGGGCGTCAGCGCGCGACGCGACGACAGAAGGCGATCGAAGTCAAGGCCGGAGGCGACGAGAGAGACGACGAGACAGAGAAGGAAGGCGACGCACGCGACGGCCGCGAAGGAGGCGTGCGGCAGCAGGAGGGGCGGGGGCAGGAGGCACAGGAGGGCGAGAAGGAGGAGCAGGGCGAGGAGCGCGAGCAGGAGGCAGAGGGAGGCGGAGGGTGCGAAGGAGGCGGCGACGAGGTGGCGGAAGAGGAGATAGGAGAGCGCGTGAAGGGCGGAGATGGCGACGACGGAGCGCAGAAGGGACAGGCGTTCGCGCGACGCGTACTGTTGTTGCAGTTTCTGCAAATCATTGGACTTGTGGTCGGCTTTTGGGAGGAATTCCTTTGGAAGAGAGAAAAGACTGGTTTTCCCTTTCGTTTAATTAAAGCGACGTTTTTATGGAAGACTTCATTAATTACGCGAAAAAGCAATAAATCTGCGAAAAACAGGTTCTTTTGGGAGAGCGCGCAGTGGACGACACACTCACCTTCTGGTCGTCCGGTTGTCGCGTCTCGTCGTTCATCGCGTCGTCTCTTCTCTGAAACTGAGAGAAGAGTTCGGAAGAGGAGAGAGCGAGACATGCATTGAATGACGCATTCATTGATCGCTTCACTGATTGGACGAGAGATGAAAGTGATTGCAATTCAGCTCTAATTCCAAAACCAATTCAAAACTTCTGTCAGCGAAGGGCGGGGCGCCGGGGGAGCGGTCGGGGGGCGACAGGTAAGGGAGCGCGAGGCAGACGGGCGGGGAGACGGCGGGGGAGCCAATCAGCGCCTGTTTATGGCAGCAATTGACCCAAATTTGGGAAAATAAATATTTATTTTAAGAGACTTTCAATAAAATTCTTGTTTTAATAAAATT